TCGCTCGCTGAAGTTGATTTTAGCGAGGAAAGAGCAGCCGAGGGGGTGAAGCATGTAAGACACGCCTCCTTGAGTAAGAATCCAGTAGTGTAGGGATCAGAGAACGTATCAGCGTCGAAAAAATTGTGTTGAAGTAACCAAACATGGTAAAGAATATATTTTCTAGTAAAGATTTGTTTTAAAACACAATTGAATTTTAAATAAAAATGAAAATAAGTGATTCTGATTAATATTTTCGCTGTAGATGTTACTTTATCGATCTTATATAATTCTTCATGCCACAAGTGTATAAAATCTATAGTTTCGTTATTGCTATTAGTACTATTTTTTATTTTACTGCCATGGCTGCCGTCTTATCGTCAGGTAAACGATCTTGTGACGTAACTTTGTAAAAAAAAGATTGAATGAATTGAATAGATATCAGTATCTAGCTTAATACTGATTCGTTTCCCCCACTATTTACCGTGACTTTTACTCTGGCACCGCCCACGAGCTTCAAGGAGCGCTCTGATTCGCGAGCTTGGCCCGGTTGGACACGTCCAAATTAGTCACTTAGGCAATTAAGGTGCTGTACAAGTCGTCGTAGCGAGGGAGACTACGTTTCGGTGACTTTCAATAAATTACATCATCGCGAACCGTAAAGACGGCTGAATGTGAGCCCCGCTGGCTCATTCATGGTCACTCGTAAACGGCTCCGGTTCAACCCTTCGTGGACGGATGACGCCAAACGGCAACATTTCCAACGTAATGAAACCAAAATAAAAATTCATAACACTAAAGAGATTACATTGTACTATGCAAATATAAATCTGCAATACAAGATATTTCTAAATGTATACGTTTGCAGCTGCAAAACAAAACGACGCGAGTCAGATTTTTAAGAAAATTGTACCACAACTAAGAATCTGCAAAACACAATTTATATTTTTCGAGGAAGAAAAATAGAAAAAAGTTACATTTCTAAAAATCTCAAATCCCCGAAAATTTGAATAGTTTCAATTAATAATGCTTAAAATCTTGAATCAAAAAATATACGACTAATTTTCTGTACAGCTGTAGATAATAATGAATATACGTTTAATTGCGTGCGTTCAGACAGTGATTCCTACCGAAGTAAGTATGAATTTTTATTTCCTTCGAAAGGATCGGAATTACTTGTTCAAGTGAGTCCACGAAGGGTTCGACCTGATCCTCCACAATCCTACAATGCCGGGTTCTCTTTATGTACACAGGGGATCAACGAGTTTCATATATTAATATATCGCGATTGGACCACTTACGCAGCGTTTACATTGAACAAACTGGTACAAGTACTTCGTACGCGTATTATGTACAGGTCGGTTTAAATTAAAACGGGATTACAAACTAGTAAGTAAAAGTATCTTAGTGACTTAGCGAGCGAGGAAACGCCTTCTAGTTACGGCACTCGGGTCGACCAATGAAAACTATTGTGGTGTCGCGGGTGGTCGAGAGAAAGAGAAACCCGTTCCGCGTAGTCCAAAGGCTGGACCGATATTTTACATCCTTAATATAAGGGATTGCTCGAGTTAACGCTACAACTACCAAGCAGTCAAATTAACTACATTCTTTTCTTATAATCATTAAATCTTATAATTAAAAATTTGAATTCGTTAATTACTAAATTCAATAATTCATAAATCTATTCAGTAACCTCTGAAATCTAAAGTTTCTATAATTACTAAATCAAATAATTAGTAAATCCATCCAGTAAAACCTTTCAAATTGAAATTTGTCACAATTACTAAATTCAATAATTAGTAAATCTATATAACAATCCGTCAAGCCTAAATTTTGCATACTTACTATATTAAATAATTAAGTAAATCTATTTCGTAATTTCTCAACAGAAGCATCTGTACCTTTTCAATAACATAAAAGAAGAAATCTGTAACGTTACCGGTCCGCGTGGTAGTTTTAGCGTTAACATAAGAAATTCAACGCAAAACCTGTTTCTGTATTCGGAAAAGTCAGTCAGACCTGCGAGATTGCGGCCCAAGAGAATTATTGTATTTATATTGTGTTCGTTTCTTCTTCACTTTTCGTTAATTCCTCGAATCATTCAACTTCAAAGGTATTCCTCCCGAATCATTTAAAAGTGTGGTTTCATTCCCCCGATAGTTACTGATCCCACGCCATTTTCCCACGTCGTGAGTGTCAACCGCAGCGAACATCACGGAGAAACGCGCTCGAAACTTCTTCCTGCCTTCAGGCACTAGACGGCAACAATAAATACTAAATTAATTACCCAGATAGAACGTGAACGCTGGTTCGGCCCGAGATTGGCCCGGTTCTTCATTTTACACAATTTTCCCCCTCGATTTATCACCTAATATCGTTAATTCCCTTCGCCACTATTTATTTAGTTTATTTATTTGTTTATTCAGCCCCGGATACACACGAGCTCTGACGCGTTCGCTTATTATTTACACGATTTAACTCTCTATTATTGCAACAGTAACAAAATATTCGTAGTTCATCTCCTTATTCTTCTCTTCTTTTTTTTTCTTTTTTACCTTTTCTCGAAGCTCGCGGAAGATACGTTTAATGCCCATTAGAGTATTTTGATTTCGGTAATAATTCTACTTTCCAGTCTCTCCTCTCTGCTTTTGCACGAGTTCAATGAAATTCAATATTCCTTATTTTCTTTCTTTCTTTTTAATACATTAATTGTACGTATTGGTCGACAATGAACACCAAATGAGGGTGGAATGGGGGTGCGATTGGGGAAACACTCGTTTTCTTTGCGCGACCGTTCCGAAACGACTCGAAATTGAAAATGTTTCTAAAAAAAGTATTTATAAATCTACAAATTATTTTTCAGTAAATGACATTGAACTCACCCTCATATGTCTGCAAATGTTTCTTTAAAAACTTCGTTTTTAAACGCTACGCGGATAACAATTCAACGTATCAATATATTGGGAACAAACAGAAGTAAAAAAGAATTAATAAACTAAATTACTAAAATACTCGATTCGTCGTTTTAACTTATGAGCTCTTTTCTCAGAAACATTCGGAATTTCATTTCAGTACCTGCGCGCCTCGGAACGCTTCGCGTATCACCGTCGCGCATAAATTCGTTATTGGTCTACGACCCGCACGATCGTATTTGTCAATGCGCGAGCAACGTCGGGCTACCGATACCGTTCCATCTGGGTAGACGTCGTTACTTTAAATGTTATTAAACGCTATTTGTTACATAATATGTACAACACTATTTTCGTGTGTATGTGAAATATCTCGGGACTCGATTGCAGATTCTTTGAACGGAAGGTCGCAGACGACTAAAAGCAATTGCATTTCGAAACCTTGTAGTTTCTCTATTGGAATTAAATTATTCGAGATTTTCATTGTGAATGCTGCATCAATCTTCTTATATCTCACAGATCCAATGAAATTTACTTCGTCTCAGAAGATGGAAAACTGAGAAAATCAAAGTCTAAATTTATACAAAAAGATTGTGTCATTTGAATTCGGATGACATGGAAATCGAAGTGTTGTCTACAAATGCTTGAAGAACTAAATAACGAAACATTTAACGAAACTCCGCCCAGTGGGCGGAGTGCGGAACAATCATTGGCGCTACCCACTTCCCCGCCCTGTTATTCTCCGCTTAGTAGACGGAGCTAATGCGCAGTGGTGTTCTGCGCACGATCTCTATTGGCTGTAACTTCTACAATCATTTGCGAGAAAATAACTCATTTGTGAAACGTGAATCTTTTTGTGTTTGAATCGCTTTTTCACGTAGAACACACTGAAAACGTCGAATTGTGTTCTGAAACGTAATTGTTCAACGTCTCTGCAATTCTCAGTAGATTCAAAGATATCGTTGGATGTATACCGAAGAGGATGAACGCCAATCAATTGCTCAACAAATAACGTTCCAAGAATTTTGCGCTGTTTTCGGGAAACGAAGCCGTTTAACGCTTAACCCCTCCCACGTTAATAATAAACCGCAGTAACATCTTATACTACCTCTGACTGTTTTACTGTACACACGTCTTCTCCTTGAAACTTATTCGCTAGACTTTCTTTCGCCAAGCATTATTCTCAACCACTTCTCACCCGAGAAAGTAAAACGATTTAATAAAATATACCGCAACGACTTTCGATTACGTGGATCGTTATCCCTCGCCATAAATTAAATAACCTACAGTTAACGAAG